TTTGTATTTTTGCATGCATTTTTAGCATTATATAATACTAATATAGAATTATATTTAATTACAATTAATAAATATTAAAGTAATTGTAATTGCCACGTTCGATACTTTATTTATATTATCTATTAGCAGTAAATGTGAGCAACATTAAGTTATTAATTGCTCGTAAATTATGTATACTATATTTTTTATATATAATTATATATAATTATTTATGACACTTTTTTTCCCGGGTAATTATACAGGTCGTTGCACGTTTACTTGTTTGTAAAATACGAAATAAGGCGAGTTTTTCAATTCGTTGTTGACCAATCGCATTATATGCGTAAAAATGCAATTGTACTTTATCCTTCCATAAAAATTGCATTTGTGCATAACGTAATTAATTAATTTCAATTTAATTTCAGCTTGTTCTTTTCTTAGTTTTTTGGACGTCACATAAACTTTGTCAAATAAAAATTTTAATGGAATTTAAATGCAACACGTGTCATTCGTTTTTAAAAGGGTTCTTGTTTTAATTATTATTTATATACAGTAAAAAAATTTGTGTATTTGTGTTGGAAACGGTCCACTCACGTTTGTGTTAACAGTTTGTGTAGAATTTTTTAACATATTCGAGTGTTAATTTAACATAATATGATTATATTTAAAAAATAAGAAAAGAAAGAGCTACGTGCCAAAGTCTGTCGTTAAAATTTAAAAAGTTAGTAAATTAAACATACAAAATAGTCAAAATTTAATAACATATGTCAATTATAAACAAACAGACGTTTCGATCCTCATCGGATCATTCTTAATGTTAGCTCATAATTAAAGCAGTTTTATTTAAAAATTAATATAATATTCGTTCTCAACAAATGATATAAAATTCGAGTTTTCTCACTCATAGTTTAGACGTTGTTGTCAATTTTTCCATTTTCTCCTCAGTCCAATAGGTAAAATGTGACTTTGAGATTATAAATGTATCACGTTGATATCGATTATAAATTATTAAAAATATGTTGTGTTGATAGTTACAGTGTATAAAGATTGTTGGAGCAAAGCTATTGTTTCTTAAGTCAAGAGTTAGTTTTATGTGAGAATCTCGATCAAAAGCGCAGACAATTGGAAATGAATTTTAGATAATGCGAAGAGAATGAAAAAGACCATTTAACTTAAAAGTTCTTAAAAGAGACAATCATGATTATATTATTTAAAGATTTTTTGTGAAATTGATATTCAATGTTTCTTAGTATCAAAATGACGCAATTTAGGTATGAGTAAGTGAACAAGTAACATAAAAATATTGTGTTTTGAAACGTAAATTCTAAGACAAATAAATGAAATATGTGTTAATTTTCTGAAAAAAAAAATATTCCTACGGTATGTTTACAAACTGTGTCGATGTTATCTTTCTTTGTATTTATTCTCTTACATAATATTTGTGTTACCTTCTAACATATTTATCTTGTGTAAAATTAACTAAAAAATTTGAGTGGACCGTTTGGGACATGCGGTTTATGTTATAAATTTAACACATTTTTTCCAACTGTGTATGAAAGATGCAAGACTAAAATGTCTAAATGTTTCGCCTTCTTATCAAAATATATGATTTTTACGATAAAAATGTTTTACACACGCTCGCATTCTTTGCTTTCTTCCGGACAAACTTCGTTAGTTTTGTTTGCTCGCGTAAAGAATGAGCGCGAATTGAGAAGGACGTTCTTTTGAAATATCATTCAGCATATTTCATGTGGCATGTGCTTTTTTTTTCTCTTCAGTTTTTATTCGTCATTTAAAAGTTCATATCTGATGGTCTAATAGGGTGAATGCACCGTTTGTGGCCACTGCACCCATTTTGGCCACCTTTGCTGTTTATTAGGTTTTTCTAGTTTAAAGTTGGCTCTGATGTGCAGCTATCGACAAATGCGCGTCGCAATTATTTCTCTTGTTTAATAATGTGACAAATAACCTCATACAAGTTTCCTCTTTCATATTATAAAAAAATTATTTTCTACAGAAAACACTCAAGATACAGTCATCTTATGCGAAACGATAAGAATCTCCGAAACGCGATAAATAGAATTTAATGTATTTTTCAATGATAATGTAACAGTACATACGCGTATGTAGTAGAAATGAGATGCGTACAAGTTTCTTTTAAAATGAATTCTATTAATGCAATTTTATAAAATTAATTTATTTTTTAAATAAACAAGCTGGCCAAAAATCGAGCATGTTTTTTCGCATTTTCCACTTGTGGCCATAGAGTGGCCAGAACTGGGAATGCATTTGCACTAATTTTGGCCATTTTATTGAGTGAGTACAAAAATTCGTGCCCGAATTTATTATTCAAAGTTCAAACAGCTGCAATTTTGTTAAAAATAAATGAAATTTAAATTTAAAAAAGCGTTTTAAAGCTTGAAATCTCTACTTTCGAAAGGTTACTATATTTTTTTAATTTATGTAAGTTTTGTAATTTTTACATATAGAAAACTACGAAACGGGAACTTTTTAAACAAAACGGGAAATTTTTTCTTCACTTTGTGGGTCTGTCATATGTTCAAAAAAATTTGCAAAAATTTTTGAATTTCTAATGTAAAAGCTTAAAGTTTTCCCTATAAAATCGTTTTTAAAAAATGTCCCTACGATTTTTTGTTACTGAGTTGTTGCGAATTAAATACAAAGAATATTTTGACTTTGATTGCTCATAATTCCATCAAAACCATCACAATTAAAAAAACAGATTCTTAAATTCTTTCATCGGATAGAGTAAGATTTAGATTTTATTTCATTTTTAACAAAATTAGCAGCTGTTTGAATTTTGAATAATAAAATTGGACACGAATTTTTGCACTCACTCAATATATAAAAAGAAAGTTAATCTTAAAAGTAAAGACTAATCTTCAAAATTCTATGCAACTTATGAAGTTTTTTGAACGAATGTTATTTTATTATTATATTTTTTTATTATTATGATTAAAATGCCAAAAATAAAGTTTGATAAATCTATAAAGAAAAAACCGAAGTTGTCCGCAACATTTAAGGAAAATCAATAGCAGAAATGAAAATTATTTTGGTATTCACCAACGAAGATACGAGAAGCTTTAGCTGCTATTCAGAATGGTACATCAATCTCAACAGCAAGTAAAATTTATCATGTACCAAGAACAATTTAAATCAGTAAAACAAATTAAATTAGCAGCAAAAAGAATAAAATTAGAAAAAAGAGGTGAAGCAAAATAAAAAAAGAAAGTAAATTGAAATAAAGAGAAAATATTTTGAAGATCGCTTCTTTAAAGTTTTATAGTTTATCAAAGAAGTTAAAAGTTAAAAGTTTATATTAAAAAATATATTTTTGTCCAATAAACCTTGAAATATATGACATTTTGCAAACTTTTGTTATTTGCTATCCGTTTTATTTGGAACAAGAGTTTATTGTAATGCTAAATCTTTTAAATGACCAAAATTAGCATCATACATGACCACAACAGGTATATAGGTGGCAAAAAATGATACAAAATGGAATTTTTAAAACTATTTAACTTTTTCATTATACATTCGCCTTTTTCTTTAAAACTGTTTTGAATATTAAAAACTAAGACATTAAACAATGTATCTAAGTAAATAGTATCTCCTTTTTATGTACCATTTAAAAAAAATTTCTTAAAGTTATAGAAATGCTTAAGGTAGCCACAGACGGTGGATTCACTCTATAATTCAAGCTTCAGAGATAGAAATCTGACACGTTTTGTCTATAATTTTTTGCGATGTCTACTTTGTATTATAATATAATTTGTTACACGTGTATTCTGATTATTCTATTTTTTCGTATTATATTATATCTAGATTATATCGCGCGTTAGAATTGTTTTCTAACGAAAGCGAATTTTGCTCGTATGAGCGCAGACGCGGAAGTGAACGGGCGTCACGCAGCACCCCCGGGGAGGAAAATAAGGAGATCCGGTCGCACGGGTGGGGAGGGGAGGAGGGGAGCGTGAACGACGCGTGTCATGTATGTGGTGTGTGCGTGGCCACCCACCCACACACACAACACCCCCCCCCACACACACACACACACACACAAATGTAGTTGCGTCTCGCGGTCGTCCGAGAAGTGATTCCATCGTACCAGACGATTTCGTTCCGAGCGAACTTTCGCACGTTGAGGATTTAGAGATGGGAATAATAATAAACATGAACAATAAACAAAGAAGCATGTTAGAGGTTTGATAAAGGTTAATACCAGAACTCGTCGCGTTGTAATAAATTCGATAAACGCTCTGTGTATTTTATCGCTGCCAGACGCTGTCGTATAAGTTTATTGAGTTAAATCACTTGGCCTTTACGTGAGTTTTTGTGATAACAATTTATAATAAATTGCTTATCTGAATTTTTTCTGTCCACTAAGCACACACGTCTTTATAAACACGTGCGTGGTGCGTGAACGTTTAATGACGTGTCTATAATTCTGGCAATCCGAGGCGTTCGACATAAACAACTGCTGAGTGAACGCTCGTTATTATTGTTGGTACATTCCTGTAGATTTATCATGAATCTAAAGATCTATGTAATCTCTACTCCAATTATCAGGCAATAATTATAATGAGCGCTCATTCAACTATAGTGAACTATAGCAGACAGAAGTCTGAGAGCGGCCATGCCCGGGATTTAGCCGCAACCTTATTTTGAAGCGCCTCTATGTCCGCAAAACGTGGACATTGGGTACATAGTTCAATATCGACGTTTTGTGGATATAGAGGTGCTTCAAAATAAGATTGCAGCTAAATTCCGCTTGAATTGAATGAGAGCGGGCATGGCCGCTCTCAGACTTCTCTCTGACTATAGGCTACGTTTACACCGTGCACTTAGTCCGCGACCTATACGATAAGTGTCTTTGTTTAATATACAGGATAAACAAAGACACCTATTGGCTATGTTTACACCGTGCATTTAGTCCGCGACCTATACAATAGACGTCCTTGTTTATCCTGTATATTAAACAAAGACACCTATCGTATAAGTCGCGCACGGTGTAAACGTAGTCCTTGTATAGGCTGCGGCCTAAATGTACGGTGTAAACGTAGCCAGTGTGTCCGTTGAACGCGGTCCATCTGGGTCTCCATTAGTCGACCTCGTCCTCGTGTCAGTTGTTACTCGCAAGTTAGCGGCAGTGGTCATTACTTCATTCAAATAACATTTGAGGGAATTGCTTGTCGGTTGTTTGAATGCAAATCAGTTGTGGAATTTAATATATCTTTCGAAACGACACGGTAAAAGAGAGAGAAGAGAGGTGGAAGTTGAAAGATGAAATAATTATATGGTATAATTGGCAAGCCAATCCTAAGGGATCATTCATTATATAAAGAGTCAGCAGAATCACTAAACTAATAAACACACAGTGGCATTTGTTGATCAGGTGGAATTTATAAAGAGAATCGATTGATAAATATTGATAGCAAATTAACAAAGTTAGTAATTACAATATTGATTGTAAACAGATCTCGAAGTTTCACAAATTTGATTTTTAATTGTGTCATATAAACGAAGGAATTCTATTACGGAAGTAATTAATATTTAATTTCTTATATTTTGTTATAGGTATATGAAAAAAACAAAGATCCTTTATCACAATGATAGTTAGAGCTTTATGCAATACCTTTTCGGGAAGACAGATTGTCTCGTGCATGCAGTCACAGTTATTAAAACGTAACCCATACTTGGTAACGTATTCTTTCATTTGCAATTGTAATGATAATGTCACTTATATGTTAATGTTTACATTATATGTAATCTTCTGTTACCACATTTACTTGTTTTTTTTTTTAGGGTCTTGGACAATTGACACGCACGATATCTTCGCATCATGTCTCAAAGAATATTGAATTGCTTACACAAAATAATCGTGTTATCTCATCTAAAAACATTGCTCAGACTCTAAATGTAGCAAACAATCGTCCTTTGTTAGTCATTCTCACTTGGCTACTATCAGAGCGACGACACGTTATGAAATTTGTTAATTTGTATATGGAACAAGGTTTTGACGTCGTAGTGGTATCCCTTACGCCTTGGCAACTTTTGTGGCCTACAAAGGGTGCTAGGGTAAGTGTACGTGATAGAATACACGTTGAATCTACTTTCTATTCTATAATTCATAGGCCCCTATTCTGTAACTCTTGACAATGTCAGCATCGTTACATGCGCAGATTTTATATATAATAAAAAAGCTATGCAACGATATCTGATGTGGTTGTTAATCCATTTACAATTTTCGTTCAATTACTTTCAATTTGTTTACAGCTAGTGGCAGCGGATTTGTTAACTTTCTTAAAGCAAAACGAAAGTTACCAACAAATTCTGTTACATGGGTTTTCAGTGGGCGGTTACATGTGGGGTGAAGCTTTAGATTTGATACAAAGCAACAAGGACAAATACAATACTGTTACAGACAGAATTATTGGACAGGTATGGGATAGCATAGCTGACATTAGTCAAATTCCAATTGGTTTCCCTCGTGCAGTATTCCCGAAAAACATGATGTTGCAATCTATGTTACAAAAATACGTAGAGTAAGTAACAGAGGATAAAATCAATAAAATAATTATCTTCGAGTAATATCAACATTACTTTCAGATATCACATGAAGACATTCCATAAACAAGCGACACAGTATTACATTCGATCCAGTCAGATATTTCATGCTGCTAATGTACTACGCGTACCAGCATTATTGTTTGTAAGCAAAACTGATCCTATTGGAACTGTAACCAGCAATTTAGCTTTACGCGATGCCTGGGAATCTTTAGGAATAAAGGTACGATTCGCGTTTGCTGGTTCATGACAGAATCATGTAGAAACATATACATTTATATTATAGACATACATGAAGATATTCGAAGAGTCGCCGCACGTTGCCCACTTCTATACGTATCCTAAGGAATATGTTGCCGAACTCTACGCCTTCTTACAAAAATTAAATTTAATACAAAACGAAGAAAAGATTAGAGCGCGTCTTTAAGTATCTCAAGAGCGCGCTATTCTTTCACATGTGTAGTTGTATTTTTTATATGAAGTTGCCTTTTCGATTACATTCTGTTTCGTACACTTAACACTTGCCACATGCATAATATACTTACACAATAGACGATTTTGTATATATTTAAATTTACAAAATATAAAATTTTGCGAGCAATCGACATCAAGTTTACCGAAAAATATGTCTTTAAAAATATATTTTGTGTCGATAAAAAAATCTTAGTCATATTTTTATACATGCCGAAAAATATGTCTTTAAAAACATATTTTGTGTCGATAAAAAAATCTTAGTCATATTTTTATACATTTTATCTTTGAAATAATTATGCACATAGATACAAACGTGTATTTTTTATTATTTAAATACAAATTGTAACATCTTAGGAGCAATATGATAAAAAGATAACAATAGTACTATTTACCATTATATCACGAGTTATACGGTTTAATTGTGTGTTGTACATTGGTGTATTTTATCATATATATATATACAAGCTCTTTTATTTTTAAGAGATTCCAATTTTCTTTGCCTCTTCCTACGTTTTTTTCTCTCCTTTTTGGCAATATTTACTTCATCCAGCAGTTGGCCTCCTTCCAATTCTTCTAAGATTAACTTTTTTTGCTTATTGATCATTTTCTTTTCGTAAAAGTCAGTCTCGTCCAATTTGATTTCTGCTTCCCGTTTTGCCACTGATATTTGCGTCAAGATTGTAACGATTTCCTTGTCTAGTATTAATTAAGAGATAAGGTGTAATTTTTAATTACTTCAAAAAAAAAATAAGTGCAAAACAGGACTATGTACTCACCGTTTACCTTGTACTCCGTTAACTTAATGCCTATGACATCTTCAATCGCGTGCAATAACTTTATGTCGTTTGGAGTTATCAAGCTTATCGCCATACCATTTTTACCTGCACGAGCTGTTCTACCAACTCTATGAATGTATTCTTTTGGTACATTCGGTATTACATGATTAATGACTAATTGTACTGTGGGGATATCCAAACCTCTCGCCGCAACATCAGTAGCAATTAATATTTGTACGTGATTTGACTTGAACTTATTTAGCGCTGCTAAGCGTTCCTTTTGCTTTATCATTGCATGAAGAGCTACGTTCGTAAATCCGACATCATTCAATGTCATGGATAATAATTGACAGTGTCTAAATATAACAAGATAATGTGATATATGTATAATTACTTAGGTCTAAATATATAATTACTTTTATATTATGTGATGAAAACAATTGTTATTTACTTGCAAGTGTCTGTAAATATCATGATAGAACCTTCTTTGTTCGTGGCACGAAACGTCCTAATTACTTCTACCAGATATGAATCAAGCACATCCTTAGGACATAATACGTAACGTTGGTCCAATTCCTTCACAGTGGCGATACCAGAGTCATCTTCCTCTTGCCATGTAAAAACCTGGATAAAAATTTCCATTCCGATAAACTGAATGTAATGTAACACATGGAGGAGAGTGAAAACTATAATGATGTTAGTCTCTTAATTATGACTTTGATAAAAATGTGAGAATACAAAATAAAAAAAACTCTTCAAACATTACCAAAAATTGAAAATTATAACAATAAAAATCTTATTTTTAGACTGTACAATGTAAGAAACACAATTAATAATAGAAATTCAACAGGCTATACCAGTCGAAGCTAATCTTTCAATGCTTTAAATAATTCAATGTGAATTATATATATATTATATATGTATTTGCATATATAACATATTTGTAGTCCTTCAAACTGCATGCCGAATTAGTTTTCCGGAGTTATAAACACAATTAAACTATTGGAATAATATCACGAATTAAATTAAATTGACAAGCAATTCTTAAATAATTTTGATGCACAATCAAGCATTGTATTAGCAAGATGTTATTGTGCTGAAAAACTGTAAATAAATTTATTGCGAAAAATATTACCTCGACCGAGAGTCGAACCCGGATCTCTTGTATTCCATACGAGCGTCCTAAGCCATTAGACTACCGAAGCAAATTATAAAATTATAAAAAATTTTTTTAAGTGACTTACACCACTATGGTTTTCACCCCTTCATACCGTTGCATTATTGAAATATACCTCAGTAGAAGCTATTTGTTTTACTTTATCCAGAGTATCTGTCATAGTAGCACTGAAAAATAATACTTGTTTCTGTTTGGGCAATGCGGCAAATATTGTTTTCAATTGTCCATCGAAATGACCACCAAGTAATCTATCGGCTTCATCCAATACTAAAAATTTTATCCTTTGCAAGGAGAATGTATCACAGCTGTCTAAATGATCTGCCAATCGACCTGGTGTAGCTACAACTATATGTGGCCGTTTTGACAGTTCTAATCCTTGTTCCATCATATCCATGCCACCAACAATTACACATTTTTTCAAATTGACAGCCTTGCCAATTGCGGCAAATTGATCAGCAATCTAAAATAATCCCAATAACAATGAGATTTATTATAATTAAATGCAAATATAGTTTATCTTGGCCAAATTATTCTCTATTATTTCGAAACATTTAAAATCATTATATTATAGGATAATCCAACATATCCCATAAATATATGACAATTTATATTACAATGGCACAAGTAAAATTTTTCACCTGAAAAGCTAGTTCCCTCGTTGGTGTTAACACAAGAGCAAATATGCCATATGGATCCTCGCATAATTTTTGCAAAATAGGCAGGGCAAATGCCAAAGTTTTACCACTACCAGTCTTGGCACAACCTATGCAATCTTCACCCATAAGTATTCGAGGAATGCAATTCTGCTGAATGGGAGTTGGCTTTTTTAAGCCTAAAACAAATAATAGCTGTACAATTTCATAAAGCTGTCAGTTTTGCAAAAGTTTAACATTAAATGCCATCAAATATTTGAATTTTTATATACCAAGCATTATTTTAGTTTAATAAATGATCGTTGTGGAAAATTACTTACCCATAGACTCGCATTGCGTAAGGAGCCAAGAATTCAGTTTCAAATCTGAAAAATGTTTAACTTCTTCGCTCATGTTGAAAACGTTGGAAACTATGTCAAAATTGGTCAAAATTCATTCTGCATGATTCTATTTCAGTGACTTCAGTCCACGTGCACCGACGAGATAAAATCAGTAATAATAGGTCTGCAGGGTCACAGTATATACAGTAGGTTTGTTCTTCTTGATACACGAGAAGTGTAAAGTGTATGTACACCATACACTTTTACACTACACTTTTTGGGAGGGGAAGAAATGTCGTGTAAAGTGTAAGCTTTTTAAGAAGAACGCCAAAGTGTACGTACAACAGCTACTTATGCATGTTGTTTATGTTTAGAGTTGGTGAAAGTGAAAAACTTCTTAAAATTTGACTTCTTAAAATATTGACTATATTGTTACGATCATCACAAAATGGATGAAATAAATGCAGAAATTCTTGATTACATTTTGGAGTCTCAGTCTGAGCCTGATTTATTTAATTCGGAATAAGAACTACTAATCCAAATTCAAATCTTAGCAACCTAACCTATTAGTGTAACGTTACACCAATTTTACACCACCTCTCAAGCACGTGAAAACCAGTGTAAAATACGTCATTAAAGTGTATTACACTTTCAAGACAAACAGCGTGTAATCATACACCTCAACGTCACTTCCGACAAGAAGAACGCTAAAGTGTACACTTTACACGAAAGTGTACGAAGTGTAAACAAGAAGAACAAACCTAGTAGCACAACTCTCTGTCGGTACCTTTGATGTTAGTGTTGGTCAAAATGAAGTGCGCATGCGCGAAATAACTTACCTAGCGTAAACTGCGTTCCTATGGTGTTATCTGAACTTCTTTCTTTTTTCATCCTTCTTTCGCTCTGTCAAAACTCACTATATTTATTCGCGTCGCATTTCAATGAATGCGTTGGAATGAATAAAAGCTATTGTAGGAGCATATTGGAGCATGCAACGCGAATAAATCCACTATTGCAATGAAATAATCTAAACTTAATGAAAATTAATAAAAATAAATTGTAAATATATTGAAAAATAAGGAAAAAATGTAGAAAAATTTAAAAAAATATTAAATCACCTTCAAAACATATATTTATATAGAGAAATATTACATAATTGTAAATATATGTTAGGTATCAAAATGTTATGAGTTGATATAAAAGAAAATTTAGGTTTCTCGAGATTTCTTACACAACACTTCACCAAATAGACAATGCACGTTGTATTTCCCTCCAAATTTCTACTCTTAACCGCTCTCAACTCTTTAAGGCTGCGATCCACTTGACGCTACAAACGCTTCGAAGCGTTTGAGGCTGCGTTCCACTTAACGCTCGCAACGCTCGTGAGCATCATTTGTCCTTGTTTAACATTGGATAAACGATAAGGATAAAATGATTCCACGAGCGTTGTGAGCGTTAAGTGGAACGCAGCCTGAGTGATCAATCAGAACAAAGAATTTTACGAATTGACTAATCAAAGAATGCTTCGAAGCATTTGTAGCGTCAAGTGGACCGCAGCCTGAGATTGAAGATTGAAATTTGACCAATCAAAACAATAGGAGCTAAAATTCCTTTGCCCTCATTGGTCAAATTTCAATCTTCAATCTTCGGTCTCAATCTTCAAGCTGATTCCGGCCTGAGGTCGGCCATAGACTTAGAAGATAGACGGAGCGTTCATACGTGAGAAGTTGAAGACAATATTAAAGGACAGCTTTATTCCAGACATAATTGTATTTCTCTTTTTCACAGTGAGCGGTGGGGAACCAATCAGCTTGAGCGTATTGCGTAAGGTCACAACTTTTGGTTTGTGTGCTGAGAGTTATAAATTCAAGTTTTGCAAAGATATATTTTTTAATTATTAATCGAAAATAGAGATACAACATTTTGGGTACATTCCGTATCTCGCATGACGTGCATCATTTATCCTTGTTTAATATTCGGTGAACAACAAAGATAAATGATGTATTATGTACATCATGTGAGAAACGAAATATTCTCAATCAATTGCAAAAAAATGAGAAATTAATGTTATTTACTTTTCTTAAAATACAAATATTACGTTTTACTGTAATGAAATTATTTACCGATGGAAAGAAACGTCACTTCGAACACCATGCTCTGACTTGCAAATGCAGCAAGACCGCACCATTATTAAATTTTCAACTTTTAATTTGTAAATAAACTATTAAAATTAATGCACAATAATCCGCTGCAATCCGCTCTCGCTATCATTGGGTGCGTTCAGCAGAACGTTTGTTTTGCAACTGTTGGAAGTTTCTTTCGAGCTGATTGGATCATACTTTTAGATCTAGAAGAATGGTCCTATCTCAGCAGACAATCATAAAACGGTTGCAAAACTGT